AGATGTTTAATTGTTGAGTAGTATTTGAAATTAAAGTTTGAAGAATTTGTTGAAGATTATATTTTTGTTTAGGACATATAAGAAGATGTGATATATCTTCAGGAGTTTGATAATAGACACAATTTGGAGTAGTATATAAGAGCGGATATCATAGATTAAGGTTTTGCATAGTAGGTAAATTGTTATTAATAATTTTAAGGTGAATTATATAGAATTTTTGATCATTATTTAAAGAATTAATAATGTCAATATTTGTTGACCATTTAATAGAGAATGGGTTTTGAAAAGATTTGAGTTGTGACCAAGAGAGAAGTGATTGTATAGTAATTGTGTTTTGTAAAAATAGTCGAGTTTTAGTAAGTATTATGTAGCTATGTCATTTAAAGTGATCAGGAAGTAATGTTGTAAAGTTGGATATAATTAAATGTTTAGAGGTGCTTTGTTTAGCTAAGAGATCAACTTGATTATGAAAAGAGTTGTTAGAATGTGATTTAATTTTGTGAAAGGAGATTTGGTTAGTAATTTGATTTGTATTAGTTTAGTATAATGTTTGATTAATATATTAATTAAGATGCTTTTGTATATAGTAGTTTTGTTTAGGAATTAGGAAGATTTTAAATATGTATTTTAAGTTAGTATATAGTTCTAATAGTTTGAGTTATGAATATATTATAAAACTTTATAGATAGTATATAATTTGAAGAATATAAAATATTATTAGATAAAAGTGTTATTTAATGAAGATGTTATAATTGGATTTGATTGATGAGTTTATTAGTAAATTATTTAGTTATATATAAAGAGAAGAGATATAGTTTTATATTTGAATATCTGTTAGACTGTATAGGTTGTATATTTAGTGATGAAATATGATAAAATTAGATATTATTGAGGCCAATTCAGCTTTATATTTTGTAACTTATATATATGACTTAGTAATATTTTGGGTATTAAATTAGTAAACAAATGTGTTTAATATTCTATATGAAAAGCAAGATATAAGTATAATATTAATAATATAAACTACTTATTTTTCTGTAATCTTTTTGTTTTTTATAGTACTGATGGGATTGGTAGCCTCAGCAGTAATCTAATTATAGAAATGTTTGTAATAGTTAAGTAGTGTGAATTAGTAGTTTAAATAGTGAAAGGTATCCTTTAAAAAAATAATATTTATAATTGTATTAGTAAACTTGATTGTTAGGTTTAGATCTTTGATCTGATTTGTTACAAGAATTGATTTGGTAGAATTAACTGTGATGTTGATCATGTTATAGAAGGATTTAGTAGAGTTAATAATTTGTTGAAATGTATTTTGTTAGAAGTCAACTATAATGTATCATCTATATAGTCTAATATTAATATGTAATATGTTAATTATTGTGTGTTAGATAAAGATGTTATTTACATATTGTATTCTTAAAATTCAAAATATATATAAGTTATTAAAAGATCATAATATATATATCAAAGAAATAATATAATTGTTTCTTCTTTGTTTATATTATCTTGTATATAATAGTTAAATATAAGACCAAAGTTTGTAATAACTGAGTTATATTGGTTATTGTATATATTAATTATGAGTTGTTGTATATTAATAAGACTTTTTATTCAAGTTAAAACATGTTGAAGAAATGGAATATGTACAGAATCATATGTCTTGCTCATGTCCTGAATCAAAAACCATATTTCTTCATTTTGTATTTATATTTCTTGTAATATATTTGTAAGAATTTGTATGAGTTGTATTGTAGAAAAATAAGACAGGTTATAAAGTTGTGTAAATCTAAAATAACATTATTTTGTTAAGTTGATTAGTAATAATTTTTGTAAAAATTTTTCAAATATATTCAAGAAGGATTATAGGTCTGGTATGATTGAGTTAACTTGTGAAGGTTAGTTTTTTCAATATGAGATATATTTACAAAGCAAAAAATTTCTATCATATTTATAAGTGTTCCATTTTAATAATCAGATTTATCAATGACGATTCAGAAATCCAAAGGTTATTCATTTATAATCATAACATATCGAATCATACAGTAATACATATAAAAAATTTGGGTTGTTTCTTTATCTCCCGCGTCTGTTTCAACACACTTCAAGCCTCACGACCCATACTGATCATTAAAAACCCTAACATAAAGTTACTAAAACATCATATCAATCATTTAAAGAATCCTGTAATTCGTGACAACATATCGTGGAGCTCTAATACCACTCTTCATATTTTAAATATCGTAACACAACACCAAATAAAGCATATTTACCGAATCAAAGTCACGTATAAATTTTTTTTATGAATCGTGTCTCTAATCGGTATATCCATAACACGTCGTAAACAAGATGTACCAAATCAAAAACCAAGCCACAACACAAAACAACTAAGACACGTTTACCATTTAATAAAACCAACCAAAAAAATTTTAACTACAAACACAATAAACAAAATCAAGTTTATCGTTTAGACCAACCAAAAACGGTTAAAACCACAACTTCAAATTTAAATTAGTAAATAAAGATGTATATTAAAAGGCTAATTATGATTAAATAATTTAACTAACACTAATATGAGTGCCGCCAAAGAAAATCAGCAAATCTTACTAGATAAGATTTGCAGGTTTTCTACTCATAACTATTGTGATACCGGATATCGTGACCGATCACGTGAAAATACACAAAATGTAATAAGTTACATTTGTGACCAGAAATGGTATTTCGGATCCAGAAGGGAGGATGGGAGTAGAAATTACACATCCTTAAAGATATTACATAGATCAGTGTAAATAACATTTAATAGCCTTAAAGTAATAATAAGTGTAAAGTCGCATTTGTGAGCGACGAATTTAGTATTATAAATAAAGGCCGAAATGGCCCTAAGGGACGATATGTCTCGTTTGCTTGATCAATAAACAAGTCCCAATACATTGTATCGTTCATAATAAAAACCCTAACACTATTACCGTTACAAACCCTGTAAACTCCTGTAAACGTCGCTGTTCAAGCCCTTGTACACGTGACTTACCCTACTTGCATTCGTTGACCCAAAGTGACCGAAAGCCTTAACCGCCCACAAGCCAAATCTAACACCCTCTTTCGAAAAGGTCACTTGTCGTACGTTACACGAGGTTTTGAATTTTGGAGCGACCGAGTCGCAATCTTCCGAACCCAACACTATCATAAGATTAAAATAGTGTAAAAATTCGCAACTATATATAGAAAAAATTTATGCTATATCATGCGCATTTTCCCCATCTTTAGTTGTGTTTTGTCTTTTTCACTTTTGTTCACTTTTTTTCTCTAATATTCTTTAATTTAGGTATAGTGAAGCTAAATACTTTTTTCAAATACATCTGCTTTTGTTATTGGTTTTCAAACTATTGCAAAATAATTTATTATTTATTTTAATTATAGAGACCGCTTTAGTCAGAGTTTTACTGTTATTTTTCTTTATCTTAGCATTTTTAACAATTTGTTCAATAGGGTATTGCTAAAATCGTTTCAATTTTTTTAGCCGCACTTTCTGAAGACAAATCAATTTAAAGATTTTTATTTAATAAATCTCATTAAAAAATTATTCATATTATGTCTTTTTATAGACTTTGGAATAGACAGTGTTCAACTGCCTTTTAAAATCAAATTTGCGTTTTATAAGATTTTGAATAATTTCAGCATGAACAGTTTATCTGAAAGACTTTAATTTCGTTATTTAAATATTATGCTTCACTTTCACCATCGATAGATAGGTTTAGAGGTTTTGAACCTGATAATTGCAAAATAATACAAGAATTAAGGACATAAACATTTATAGAATAATATTAAATAAATACAATTTACCGTAGAAAACTTCTGTCGGTTATGTTTTTTCGATTGTTGTATTATTATAATATTAAGATTTAATTGTAATATAAATAGCTATTATGTTAATATGGATCAAAGACCAAATAAAGATATTATAATACCTTCAGAATTAATAGCTATAGAATCAGTGTTTGGCAAAATTTTAGTCATTCCTTCTAATAATGTGTGCACATATTCGATGTCCGGACGTTTATCTGGGTCAGCATCCCAGCATTTGTTATAAAGGTTCTTATATTCTTCAGGAGTTCCGGGAATCATATTTTCTCTAAAACCTTGAATAATGTTTATAGATAAAATAATATAATTTTGTTGATTTTCAAATGGCGGATGGCCACTAGATAATTCCCAAAATATCATGCCAAGGCTATAAATATCTGTTTTCTTGCAATATGGTATACCATTCGATTTGGATTGTTCAAGTAATTCAGGTGCTAAAAATGAAATCATTCCAAAAAGGTCAGTGTGTATATTTGTTTGCGTATTAATACTTATGGCATTTCCAAAATCTGTTATTTTTGCTTTTCCATCACGAATAACAATGTTTTTATCATGCTGATCAAAAAATAACTTTTGTGAGATAAAAACGTAATTTAAAATATTAGCAATGCACCGATCGGACCGGATAAACCAGAAAATTCTAGGCTTGGCAATTGATACAGATATAAATCTCATATATATTTTTAAAGTTAAAAATATTTTGAGGCTGAGCGAAAAAGCATCGAAGGACTAATTGGGTTGAAGATTTAAGCTTGGAATTTTCAATTTGACCTGAATCCGGCCCGTTTAGTGAATTGTTAGCAGAAATTGTATTCAAAGTTAGCTTACCAAGTTACTGTGAATAATTTCTTCACTATGCAAATAACATAATCCTTTTGTAATTTGATAGGCCAACTCTAATCTTTGATGCCAATTCAATAAATGATGAAATTTTTTAAGAAACCTCCGTAAACTCCCATCATTTGCGTATTCCATTATAAGGAAATATTGGTCATTGATAGTATCTACATATAATATAGCTAATTAATTTACATAAATATGCAATTAACTTATTGGCAGAATAGAAATACCTTTACTGACTCCAAGAAACCGAACAATGTTTTCGCAAAGATCTAACCTAGCATGCATGGTTAATTCATGAATAAATTCATCATAGCGTCCACCATTTGTATATTTCAAATTGACCAATCCTTTACAAAAGACATCACTATGCGTCTTTGTCCAATAAGCTTTTCTTATAAATCCTAAACAAATATAAAGCGAAAAACAAAATAATTATTTACGAAAATAATTATTCACTATTAGTAATTTATAATGACCCGTACACTTGATGAACTTATCATACCAAAATGACCGTCATCAAGTTTTGAAATATTCTTTAGTTCATTCCATGGTATGAATTTTATTGATTTTTTCATAATTTCATTTTCTAAATTTCAGATTCGAATTATATTCATGTAATATTATTTTGAGACAAAAATTAAAGATATATAAATTACCAAAAAGTTCATTTTCTAGATCCTCATTTAATTTAATAGAATTTACAATTTTCATTTGGGTTATTATATCAACCTCCTCTTTTTTATCCTTATTTCCACTTGTCCATCTATGTATTGTCTTATAAGGGTCACATGTTTGACACCAAGCTTCAGATGTATTATATCGCTTGCAAATTGCACATGTTCCATTATCTTTATGTCTTTTAGAGCTAAATTCATCAAATACTAACATATATTCTTTTGTGATTGTGCTTTGAGTTAATCCATAGATACATTGACTCTCTAATTGCACATGATCTTTAAACTTATAAAGTGTATAAAATATATAAATATAAATTAAGTATACACATTAATTAAATAAATTACATACAATAAATAATGTAACCTTACTTCTTTTAAAATATTTTGTGACCTACTAAATATTTTAAGTGTAATTGTGCATGCCGGTGTACGTGACTGTGTATAATCATATTCTTTATTTTCATTTTTATATTCATTTACATGTCGAATACCATCTAACCATGTTGCTAAAAATCCATCGCCACTCTTTTGTATATTAGCTAATCTATTAAAAGGAATCCATTCAATTACATTCTCATATTCTGTGGCATTTAGTTGAAATTCTTTAATGCAATCATCAATATTTTTATTTCCACTTGTCCATCCTTGCATTGCTTCATAAGGGTCACACGTCTGACACCAAGCTTTAGATGTATTATATCGATTACAATGTGAACATCTTCCATTATAGCTAGATCTTTCTGACTGAAATTCATCAAATACTAACATATATTCATTAGTGGCTGTGTTTTGTGTCAGTCCATATACTTTGTGTTTTCCATCTTTTATATATTTCTCAAGCTTAATAAGTAGGAAAATATAATTTATAATCAGTAAAAATAAAGATACGCGTCATAATAAAATTTTATCCAACCTCTTTTGAAAGAGCCATTGAATTATGAAAACTATGCAATATTTTAAGTGCAATTGCGCATGGTGGTGAACGTAAATGTGTGTATTTATCCTCATCCACAGAAATCATTCGTACGCCATCTAACCAAATTGCTAAAACTTCATTACCAATTCTTTGAATATTATATAATCTATTAAAAGGAATCCACTCGATTACTTTCTCATGTTCTGTGACATTAAGCTGAAATTCTTTAATGCAATCATCAACATCCTTATTTCTACTTGTCCATCCTTGTATTGTTTTATAGGGGTCACACGCCTGACACCAAGCTGGTAATGTATTGTATCGTTTACAAAGTGAACATTTTCCATTTCTACTATTCCTTTTTGAATTAAATTTATCCAATACCAACATGTACTCATTAGCGGCTGTGTTTTGGGTTAGGCCAATTAATTTGTAATCCTTTGTATAGTTCCCAAACTTATTGAATTGGAAAATATAATTTATAAGTACATAAAAATAATGATGCAAATAATAAATTTTATGCTACCTCTTTCGAAAGATCCATTGAATTATGAAAACTACGCAATATTTTAAGTGTAATTGCGCATGGTGGTGAGCGTGATTGTGTGTATTTATCTTCATCTACCTTATCTACAGAAATAATTCGTACGCCATCTAACCAAGTTGCTAAAAACTCAATACCTATTCTTTGAATATTATCGATTCTATTAAAAGGAATCCACTCAATTACATTCTCGTATTCTTTGGTTTTAAGTTGAAATTCTTTAATGCAATCATCAATATTCTTATTTCCACTTGTCCATCCTTGCGTTGCTTTATAAGGGTCACACGTTTGACACCAAGCTTTAGATGTATTGTTTCGATTACAATGCGAACATTTTCCATTTCCACTATCCCTTTTGTAATTAAATTTATCCAATACCAACATATACTCGTAAGTATCAAAATTTTGAGTTAGTCCATACACTTTAAGTTTATTATCCTTTATATAGTTCTTAAACTTATTAAATAGAAAAATATAATTATATAAGTACATAAAAATAACAATATACATAATAAATAATATATTTATTATACCTCTTCCAAACAAGTGTAAGAACTGTGCGCAGTTTTAAGGTCAATTGTGCATGGTGGTGAACGTGATTGCGTGTATTTATCCTCATCCACAGAAATCATTCGTATGCCATCTAACCAAGTTGCTAAAAATTCATTACCACTTTTTTGAATATTATTTAATCTATTAAAAGGAATCCATTCAATTACATTCTCATATTCTGTGGCATTTAACTGAAATTCTTTAATGCAATCATCAATATTTTTATTTCCACTTGTCCATCCTTGCATTGCTTCATAAGGGTCACACGTCTGACACCAAGCTTTAGATGTATTATATCGATTACAATGTGAACATCTTCCATTACGTCTAGATCTTTCTGACTGAAATTCATCAAATACTAACATATATTCATTAGTGACTGTGTTCTGTGTTAGTCCATATACTTTGGGTTTACCATCTTTTATATATTTCTCAAGCTTAATAAGTAGGAAAATATAATTTATAACCACGTAAAATAAAGATATACATAATAAAATATATGAAACTTTCACCTTACCTTACTTGATAATTCCTTCGAATTGTGCAATACTTTAAGGTTAATTATACATGATGGCATACGTGAACGTTTGTATCCTCCCCGTTCTCCTTCAATTATTCGTACACCATCTAACCATGTTGCTAAAAATCCATTACTACCTTTTTGAATATTATCTAATCTATTAAAAGGAATCCACTCTATTACATCATTATATTTTGTTGCTTTAAGTTGAAATTTTTTAATACAATCGTCGACTTCCTCATTTCCACTTGTCCATCCTTGTGTTGTCCTCCAAGGGTCACATGTTTGGCACCAACCTTTAGATGTGTTATATCGATTACAATTTGCGCATCTTCCATTTTCAACACTATTAGGCGTAAAGGATTTGGCACTGTTAAGAAATTTCCCAGATGTAATTTTTGAATTTTGTTTTTGAGCATCAGCAGATTCGTCATGATCCATGAATTTTCGTGAAGACAACCTCAATAGATCAGTACTATTAAAAAATTGGCCAATTGTAATTATTTGAATTGGTGTAAGATAAATACACCAATGGACTTGATATTTCAATCTTTCATCCTGATCATTTTCGTTTTCATTATAGTCGAAGATATTACTATCATTGACACCATCTTTTTCAGGATTATTTAAAAAATTATGCGTGTGACTTGTCACATTTGTTACTAAAATGCCATTTTCGTTATAGGATTTGACAGAAGCCATGAATGATGGTTCATTATTCGACAATGGATATTTGAACGTGCAAGTAAATACTGCGTCTGATGGAAGATTTGGAAGTGTTTCAATAGAAATTTCCCAATTTTGTTCTTTACTAGGTTTAATTGTTACCTCGCCGGTTTCAACAACGATCAAGTTTCGAAAATATGTTTGCTCATAAGAAATTTTATGTAAATTCTTAAATTCTTGCAAACTTTCGACAATTTCTGGATTTCCGACCAACATCCAATTTATGTTCATTTTTCCAGAATTATTTATGTTGCCTTCCCCTTTATCTAAAGGTTTGTATAATTTTATAACGCTCTTATCACTCTTGCACCTTTTACAATTTTGCATAAAATAATCATCAGAATTCAAATCGGGATCTTGTTGAATAAACTTTTGTAGTGATATCCAAGTATAAGCACTTTTCCAGAAATTTTTGCAATTTGTACATTCCCATTCACCAAACACCTTGTAATCTTTATCGCATTGTAGATGGCAGATGACTTCATTAATAGGAATTTCATTTAGGTTTATTGGTTGTGAATCTGAATACATGCGGAAACTCGTGATAAAAAGTTTTCGATTACAATTATCACTTCTGCAAAATTCTACTAAAGAATTATACAGTTGTCCTGGAGCCATCTTTAAAAAATTTTCAAGAGATCCTTGACTATAAGGTTTTACCTTTAGATAGTAAGGTTCTAGACTGTAATATTCTGTACCGTAGTTGTGTTGATTTTCATAAACAAACTTACTTTCCATACACTCAGAGCATTCCCAATAACCACACACTTTGTAATTATTGTACATGCATAAATTTTGAATTATGTAAAAAATTATTTGTTCTTGTTTATTTTTATAGCGACCTTGAATAAATTTGAGATCTCTATATATGAATGACGTTTTTTTCGATTCCGTCAGAAGCACATTTCTTGAAGCCAATTTCTTGGATTGAACAATTTTAGTGAACGGTTGATTGAAAGAGTTTGTATTTTCCTTTTTTTCAACGACTGTTGTTTTCAATGTATGAGGAAGAGCAGGAAAATCTTCATGCCTTATTGACAGCAGGAATAATTAGAAACCAATATAGTTTAAGAGTAAATTATAAGTGTCGTAAAAGATATTCTTACCTTTTATCAAAAATATTTTCGACAATTACAGAAAATCCAAAAACATTTATTGCTTTAAATTTAATAATCCTTTCGCTAAGTTGTTGCCCAGATGTTGTTGTTACGCTTCCATAAAGTTGATAGTTGTCGCTCTTTAATTTGTTCTTGAATTTAACACGGTAATATATCACTGATGCATCAACTTGTATGCTATCAATCATAAGTATCTCTTGCTTAAAATCCGGTTTCTTAATCATTTTAACCTCTTCAGATAATTTTAAAGTTTTTAATAAAGTGTTATTATGATCATGAATATCAAGAATTCTCTTGATCTGGCTACGAGTGGGTTCTTTAAAAATTTCATAGATTGAAATTAAATCGCCATATTCGATAACATTTAATTTAGTACCATCTTGATAACAAGATTCTACCCAACTATTAACTAGAAGATTTTCATTATTAATATATGACAGCATATTTTCTAATTTTGTTGAAATTTTTCTGAAATCTTCAATAGTTGACCATTCTGTCTTGTCTTCGATGTGATCATTATTATCAATTTCGACATATTTGAGTAATTTTTTCCCTATTACAATGTTTTGAGCAAAAAAGTTTCCAAAAGCTGCAAAGACATTCAATAACTTTAAATAATTTATATAAAGATCTGTTCCTTCAATGGCCTTATTTATTGCGCACTTAAATTCTTCGGATGGTTTAATTGAATCTTTGTTCAGATTTAACTTAATCCTCTGATTTACAATTGTGAAATAAATATACCTTCTATTATTAAGAAATAGGTTATCATGATTAAGTAAGTCTTGCAATTCTGATGGGAAATCATTGATCATATTTTTTTCAAAGAAAATTTGGTTTCTTTCGCATGTTGAAATTTTTGCCGTAAAGTCACAACTTTTTAAATAGAGAACTGAATTGGTTTTACAAAATCGATTGACCTGTAAGTTCCAAGTATTACACCCTCATTGGTAAAGGTCAATCCATAATCCAATTGGCATTTGTAAATATGTTGTTTGTAATGTTCGACAGTTTCATTTTTAAGAAAAGGACTACGTGGTTCACACAGAATTTTTTCATCATAGGACAAAAAATCAAAAAGTATTTCTTCATCTAAAGAAGTATACATTTCTTCGTCAGAAGAAATAGCTGATATAATAAATATAATAGTGAAATTTTCTGCATTTTTAATTATAATTTATATAAACTAGTAAATTGCTAAACTTACATGAATCATTAAGCAAAACACGAATAACATTATCATCTATAAGAATTTCCGCCAATGTAATGGATTCTTCTGTTTCTGTATGAACCTCATGAAGATACTCTTCTTGTAAATCTTCTTTTAGAAATTTAAATTTCTGTACAATCATTCGTTTCTTGTTTAATTCTTTACGGATTTCAGATAAATAACTTTCAAGCATGTTATCACATATGAATTTTTTAGCAGTTTTTCCATCGTCTATGATCACTAGTAGTTCTCTTTTCATCTGAATCTCACAATTGTTGACTATATCACATACTTTCTTATTTATGTTGTACAACTTTTTTTTTGGTCCAAGTTTAATTCTACCAACTTCATCATGCTGCATGAAAAAAAATTTGTACCTGGAATCATTAGAATGATTTAAATTTTTTATAATTTGATCATAAGCATCATAAAGAGTTTGATTGATATCTAATTCCATTGAGACAGGGGGATCAGAATTTACTTTTATTTGTATCATCCTACTAAATAACTATGATTTAACGATCTAACTGTGTTGTGTACACATTACTAATGAACTAAGCTTTGATCTGACTATTTGTTATTTGAACTTTTCAGGAGGGTTGCATACGTACATACATGTCACACGCGGTATCAGTATGTACGTATGTACGTACAGTAGGCTCAAAAAGTATATCACGGTTACACAAAAACATGGCATAAATTTTATAAATATTAATATTTTACTATTATACAAATTAGCATTACGCCAATTAAAATATATAACGATATAATATATCTATATTTACAAGCATAACCACTATTAGCAATAACTTCAGCAATACGATTTAATAATTATTAATGCTATGATTAATTTTATTACGTACGTATACATTTTGCATGAATTTATGTTATGTTTTTTGTGTAACCGTGATATACTTTTTGAGCCTACTGTACATGCCTGCGTGCCGTTCGAGGTGGAACCATTAATGTTACACATCTAATCCCACACATGTTGTGATCAATTAAAAATAGAATTATTTCTGTTGAACTCAACTCTATAGTCTATGTGATAGATATAATCCCTCTCCAGTTTCAATATATGTGTAACACTAACGGTCCTCATGTAGCGTGCCGTATGTACGTACAAGATACAAAACATACTTTTCATTTCAAAGATTCCTTAATGCATGTTGCATGATGAAACCAAAAAAAAAACTTGACCCAAAAAAACTTGACCCAAATGTCATTGTTCACAAGTATCCGGGTGATAAGAGATTCACAAAGCGACTACCAGTTGAAAGAAATCTTACTTCCATTCGAACAATTCTTGATATGAGGCCAAACCTGGCTTTTTACGATTACAAAGACAATAAAAAAATTAAGCGCTCTTTAGAAGATTCAATAAACTTGAAGGATATAGCATGGAAAGAAGATAATGAATTTAATATAATAATCAAGAAAGAGAATGACGAAGACTGGAATGAACTAATCGAGCAGTGCGCAATTGACATGGGATTTACATATGAAAATGATCGCATTAAATTAGCAAAATTACAAGCATTTACGATTGATGTAACAACGATTAAACCGCAAACTTCACATCTTTTTTTGGAACAAGTGAATTTAAATGTGAACAACAACTTGATGGTTTATTTAAAGAAAACTTAATTTTTAACGGTCAAATAGATTCACCTTATTTATCCTATCTATCTTTGCTTGCAGGCCTAACTTTAGAACGGACAAATGAACTTAAAAAGGCTCGAGTTGAAAGTACTACATATTCGTATGATTGTATAGAAAAGCAAAGTTAAATATTGATAAAACGAATGTTATATTGGAAAATGATTTCATCGAAGACATAAATTCAGCATTAGATGCTAAATATTCACGTAAAGAAAAAATTAAGAAACTTACAGAAATTTCAAAAAAATATGGTCATTTCTATGCTAGCGAAGTCGTTTTTGGCGGTGCAATCATTAAAAACATCAAGAATATTAATGAACAAAAACATAGTAGGTATTATTACATTATTATGCCTAATATTTGATCAAAGTATTTATAACAATAATTTAATTGTAAATAAAATAAGGCACAAAAGAACGCAATTCAAATATTTCTTGTGGCTTTAAGAATAATCAAACTCATTTTGAGTTGGGATATAATTCTGAAAATACTGTATCAAAATTATTGAATATATCTCAAAAAACATTAACAATCATTGGTGGAAACGTTGCATCTTATGTTCAAGATGATATTGAAGCCATAAAACAATGGAGGGAATCGGTTAATGATCCTAAACAATGGCGTATAATTTCATACAACATACGGCCAATATTTGATTTACTTGATGATGAAAAAAAAGAAGTATCGAAAGCATTTGGTAAACAAATCCTTAAAGGTAAATTTTTTTTTTAATTAGATGGTGCCACAGAATGAGCCTTGTTGAATTTAAATTTACACTGTATTAGACTCAGCATCCAAAGTTATGACATATAGAAATCGAGCATTACTTTGCGAGTGACTGTACTCAATTATATTAAATTCATACAAGTTTCGTTTGAATACCAATTATAAATGGAATAATTTAAATTTTTATTAACAAAATAGCTAGGATAACTACTCGTAACACAGAATTACAACAACTAAGCACATGCCCAATTGTGATAGAAGGTTTGGATAAAGAAATTAAAGACGTTACTTCAAATCCACTTCAATGTCAGATCTTTGCATCAATAATCAACCAGGATAATCGAGTTTATTCTTTGCGAATTGAATACTTAGATAAAAATACACCTACATTTGTTATCCATTATATTGGAGGAAGAAAAAACTCAAGGAAAAAACATCAATGTGAAATACAAGTTGGTTGGATTATTATTGGTTATCCAGAAAAATTTATATTTGAACAAAGGAATAATGAAATGGAAGTTATTATCAATGAAAAAAAATGTGATGATAAAGAAATGGAAAAAATAGAAACAGAAAACAACCATTCGTATCGATGCACTATTACTCCTTCTTCCAATAGTTGCTGTAAATTAGGAATTAGTGTGATTGAAAGTCCTGAGATGTCCAGCAATTACAGTGTATACAATTCCAAAATTGTGACTGGTGCTCATTTTTCTCCTGAAAACATGGCATGCTTATTTATTCAAAATCTTGATAAAAATAATAATATTGATGATAATATTGATGAAAATTTACGTTTGAAAATGGTATACGGGTAAGTATTTTCACCTTATTATAACTTTATTTCATATCGACTTCATTCATTGTTGTTTCCATTTATAGCATTATTGATGCTGAATCTCTCTTACTGAAAGTGAAATTGAAAAACTGCAAGAAATATGGTATAATTTCTAACTCCATTGACGACTATAAAAAATTAAGTGCCCTTGATAAGGAAGATAAAAAGATTCTTTCTTCAATTCTTGAAGGTTGTGGCAAAATCAAAAATGGATACAAAGTTGGTAATCTGGTATTTATGAATGTTGTGAATAAATGTGATCATCATGGATTTGTAAACATTACCCCACAATATCTACTTTATGATTCGCTAAATAACACAAGTAATGAATTTGAAGGACACATTTCGTGCTTACCATTAAGATTTTATATTTAAACTTGTATTTATATAATTTACCACATTTATTTAATAAAAAACTTATTTTAATAATATTATGAAGAGTTTATCTACATAATAATATTATGATGAGTTTATCTAGATAATATTTTATTTTTATTTTTTTATTAGATAAGCTTATCAACGAAGTGACACAGCAATCATTACTGTGAGGTCAGGAGGCTTTATTACGATCACATGTAAATTAGTTCTAGTCTTTTATGGTTGTATTCATAATAGTCTCTTACTGTATTGTAAGGTGGACCCGCGATTGTCTTGATTATTTTCTTATAATGGGTGATGCGAAAGGTTATTTAAAAATTATAATTCTGGCAGAAGTTAGGCATTCTTCTGTTTGCTACCGCTCGGCTTGGTAAAGGTTGCTTTATCAACCTCCTGCTCACCCGTCGTTAAGTAGCTCGGCGGCTTTGGAATATCTCATTGACCACCATAAGACATAGTAACATCGTTAGTACCAGTACGATAATGTGGAATATGTGGGGGATGGTTCCATATAGTTTTTTCTATTTTAGAATATTTTGGGTATTATTATGATTATCATATATATAACAATTGCAACTTAAAGTAAGCCCCGATTTCTGTTAAGCCCATAATGATTTAATGAGATCGTCATAAAAACATTTGAATCGAGTGCTTTCAATGAATAACTTTTATAATATAATAGTCTTTAAACAGCTTGCTAAAATCCTGTTATAAATTACCATGTCTAGTTGAGTGGTGCTTATTTCACCGACAATTACTTCGCTGACAGCCCATTTCACAAAGTAATTCTGTTCATTTTCGTTAGGGTCAGATTAGAATTAGAGTAAGTTCAGTGCAATTCTTAAAAAAAACTTGTCGGTAAAATGGGTTGTCAATGAAGCGATTGTCTGTGAAATGACACGGATTCAGCTATTTTATAACTTTAGGAATTTAGGAAATAAAATAAAGTTTAATGGATGTAATTGGATAATGATATGCTCAATTAATATGTAACGATCCATTAAGAACTTACATGACAAATAGTTTAGTAAGATTCGCTTAAAAGATAACTTAGTCTTGGGCTTCATCATTGAACACGAAATCATAGATGATAGAATCATAAAGATCTAAACGTAGAACAAGTCAACAAGAGTAGGTAGGACTGGTGAATTAGAATGTCCTAACGACAGTTGTTGGTAGTAGAACAGACAAGTTGAAATCAATTCTATGGTAATTAGATTAATCATTAATCAAATTTATTGAATTATTGAATACAAAGCAGCTAATGATGAATATTATATATCGATATGTTTTAACATCAAAATTTCTCATCAGACGATCTAAAAAATAACTGTTCGAGGTTATAACATTTACTGTACATCATTACATTATGTTTCTTGGGTATATTTGATTTAATTTATTTAGTAAGTATTAGGATCCTTTATAAATAGCTATTCGAATAATCTGAATTTACACATTGTATATGATCGTGCTGTGCGGCATCAGCTACCCTAACTTGATTAAGATTAATTAATAGTCAAAATTTTTTCTGACCAATCAACTTTCAAGATCAGTGTAACGTGGTACGATCAAAACACCTTTTGCACTAACAAGAAATTTTGGTATTACTTGGACTCTTTGACTCCAATATACTGGCAAGATCTTAACCCTAATCTAATTATGAAATACCAGGAACGGAGTGATGCAAATCATGAAGTGTATACCAAGAACGTAGTGCATGGTTTGCGTTTGTTGAATCTGATTGGATACAGTAATTAGATGATTTCCCAAGACACACAAGATCTAACTTATGAAAATAGTTTTGCTTGATTGATGAGATACACTGTGGCGTCAAAAATAAAAAATATGCTAATACGTAATTGTGAATCACCAGTCATTCGTTTATGACCTATTTTAGATCTAAAAGCACATTCAGACTTTTATATCAAATAAATATGCAAATTCGGACTTTCATAGTTCAAAAGGCATGTGATTTGTCATTTAGACGAAAAAAGAAAAAATAAATTTTCCGAAGTATATTTGTTATCACAGTATTGGGATGCTCTCATTGACCCCGATCCACATTCGTACAATAATCAACATAATACTGTTTCTTCAGCATGGCTTATGTTAGCATATTTTTGATAATTTCCGAAGGCCTTGTGCTTATCCTTTTCAACCCGGATCTCATTTCGATAACACAAATATGCACCATTAATGTCATATCTGTGCATTCTTTTATTATCGTAAATGCTAACATGAATGATGTTATTAGAACATTTGATAGAGCAAAAAATAGGTGCGCTAATAGACGTTTCTGATTTTAGTGCAATTTGATAGAGTCGCATAACTATCTTATGGTTATACGACAATATTCGTCCGTAAACACTCATGAATGATTGTATAATGCATTAAATACACTTAAATTCACAATGTTACATCGTCACACGGATATATATTGTTACTGGCGGATCAATCGGATAACACACTCACAAACAACAAAGAAATGCGACGAATTGTCGCTTGACAAATGGTTATGCCGCGTAACGTTCCTCAACGTCTTAGAGGCGGGACGATT